TCGCCATCTCCGGTTGGCAGTTTAGTCACGCAGGTCCTCAGGTCTTAGACAGGGCTCTCCGGCACCTTCTCCGCGGGGGCCCCTGGGCCGCCGTCGCCCAGGTATATGCGGGGCGCGTTGAATGCCGAGGGCCCCCAGGGCTCGGATGGTAAGGGGGCGATTCGACGGGCCGGCGAAGCGCGGCCCTTCGGGTCTCAAGCGCGCAGGAAAAATTGGAAATATGGCGATTGCGCCCTTTATCGGACTGCTCCGCACATTCATCGACGGTGGCCAGACGGGCTCGGTGATGGGCAGACTTCGGCGTGCATGTTCTTGAATTGGACGCTCGTGCCCGCGTGGCGCCCGTGCTCCCCGGCGCTGCTGTGACTCCCCCAGCTCTATGCGCATTCGAGCGCGGTCAGGCATCCCCATCGGTTGCGAACGAATGGCTGCTTCTTCTGAAGGTAGTTGAGGTGCCAGAGCCGATGTAGGAGGTCGGGGCCCACGGTCAGACAATGATGATTATGTTCCAGATGCATTCTGACACCTTCCAAGGCTGTCCTGCCTCCTGGTGCACTCCGCGCGCGAGCGGGCCCATCCGTTCCTCGCGGACCTCAAGGAGGCGCCGCAGAGGAGCGGGCCGCCCCCGCAGATGGGCGCGACGAGAGCCTGCGCCGATGACTTCGGAGCTGCAGTGACCTCCGTGAGCCAGCCGCTCCATCTCAAGTTTGTTGTTGGCAACGCAGAAGCGCGCCTCCCTCGCCCCTGTTTTCCCCGCCCCCAATTGCGCCCCCTCGAAAGCCTCATGGGGCCACTGCGTAGTCAAGTGCGGGGGACCCCGCGCTCGCAGTTTAGGCGCATATTGCGTTGCCGCGCTGATCGGAGCTGCTTTCGCCGCGCTTATAGAGTGGCGCCCGCTGCTACACCAACTTCAGAGTGCTGCGCGGAACTCGCGAGAGTTTCAATCGCTCGGCGCAGGCAACTCTGCTTCAGGTTTTGGAAGGCGCTGGCGTTTTTGGAACGCCTTTCGCATGCCGCCCCTGGATTCCAGGAGAGCAGAAATTGCGAGAATGCTGGTCGAGCTGCGATTTCTGCCGCACTCAGCTGAAAGTTTGCATTGGAATTCCGAAACCACCCGAGCGTTTGATAGTTCAGAGCGCCGCTCCTAAAATTGTTTGCCGGATGCTCTTTTCCCAGGCGACCTTTCGGGGGTTGGTCCCATAGGCCCCGCCGTTTTTTTCCCGATAGCTCGTTTGATTTCGGGGGTAGAGTGGCAGGAAGCGCGCAGGGAAATGCTTTTTATACCCACCAGGGCTGAGAAGCGCCCTCTGGAGGACCTTCAGCGGATCATGGGTCGCGAGTCTCAGAATACACGGCAGAGAACTGTTACCGCGTTGTCTTGGGTGCCAGGGAGCACCAGATGCGTCTTCTTTGTGGTGGATGTGTCCCAAGTTTTGGGGGTTCGTTAGCGAGGTCCTCGGTGGCGTTAGGATCCCAGAGCGCCAATTCGAAGGGTCGGACTTATCTCTCTCTTTCTCTCTTCCCCTCGCCCTCTCCGATGCCTCGCTGCCACTGCCCGCTGCCGCTCATCTTGTGTTCATCCGCTTCCGACCACTGACCCGGCCAACTTGTAGGGAAGAGGCGCCGGGCACGTTCCCAGCCATCAAGATCCAGGTGGAGCGGAGGGCCGCCACCCGCCGCGCAGCAGCAGCAGCAGCAGCAGAGTTGAGGGGAGGACAGACCTGGTTCGCAGCGACGCGCGAGGACGAGGGAGAGGAGGCCGACGACGACGGCAGCTGCGACGACGACATCAACGACGGCGGCGACGACCCTAGACCGCGAGCACGACGAGGACCATGACGCAGACGAAAATTGACGACGACGGCGACGACGACGGCGGCGACGGTGACGACGTCGACGGCGCCGCGCCGGCCCAGCGACGTCATCGCCGTTGCCGCTGCCGCCGCGGCCGCCGCGGCCGTCGTCGCATTCGTCGTTGTCCCCGTCGTTGATGTCAGGTGTCCGATCTACAGGGCTTTCGTCGTGGAGTACAGAAATCGCTGCTCGCTAGAACAGCGCGCCCGCGCAGCGTTGCCCAACGCCGCGCAACGCAGCGCCTGCTTCACCGAGGGCGTTGCGCGGTGTAGGTTTCCAAATTGTTTCCCAGCGACTCCCGTGGAAGGGGTGCGACGGGGACCGCGACGGAAACGAGGACTGACGACGACGGCGACGATGGCGACGGCGACGGCGTGGCGGCGACGGCGATAGCGATGTCGATACCGACGGTGGCATCGACGACTTGCCGACCCCTGAGCCGTTGTCGCCGTCGCCGTCGCGGTCGCCGTCGTCGCAGTCGCCGCCTTCCCCGGGGCCCGCATTTCATCCCGAGTAGTTTCTTGACGGTCCAGGGGCCCGGCGGGCCGAAAACGGTCAGACATTCCCGTCATGAATCTGTTCGCGACGCGAACACGTCTGTGCCTGGGGGTCAGAAATCGATCCGTGGGCCTCTTGCGGAGCGTGTTCTGGCCAGATTCTCCCACCCGTGGCGACGAGGAGCCCCTTCGAAGAGCCGAAACTCGATGGCCCCAGCTCGATCCGCGAACCTCGATTTTTGATGCTCGATCTTGGAGTCGTCGCCGTCGCTGCAGGCCCCCGCCTCGGCCCGCGCGGCGGCGGCGGGCTCGGCCGCCAGCCGCCGCGCCTGGGCCGGCGCCGCGCCGCGCGGCGCGGCGGAGATGCCGGAGCGGTGCCGCGGCCCCGCGCGGCCGGCGCGTGGACCCAAACGTTCCATCGATGTTCACGTTTTTTTTCTAGAACGAGCGGCATACACATAAACTGTTGGCGGTCCGCTCGGATCTCTCGGATCCGCGCTGGGCCCCCCTGGCGGCGCCTCCGGCGCCGCCCCTGGCGCGCGGAGCGCGCCAGGGAGGTGGGTCCAGCGCACATCCAAGAAATTCGCGCGGAGCGCCAACAGTTTATGTGTATGCCGTCGTTTTCTTTTGTCTTCCAATCCGAAGACCAGGTCGGGACATCTGTATGATCGGCGGCGAGCGAGGGGGGAAGTGAGAAGGAAACGGCCTTTTCAGAAGGTGGCGGGGCTTCTCAGAAGCCCTCGCGCCTTCTGAGAAAAGTGTTCTGTGGCTTCGGAGGAGGTTCAGAACACCTGTCAGAAGGCTGGGGAACTCCTGAGCCTTCTGAGACTCTGGAAAGGCCTTCTTCTTCTCACTTCCCCCTGGGCTCCCCGCCGATGTGAAGAATCCCAGAGAAAAGGTTTAGTTTTCGAGGATCGAAGGAGTTGCCGTCTCCTCCTCGGCGGACACTCGGCGGAAGCCCGCGGAAGCAGAACGAGACCGCCTGCGACGGCGGAAGGCTGGCGGAGAGCTGGCGGAAGCCGGCGGAAGCAGAGAGATGCGCCCCGCAAAGGTGACGATTTTGTGAGGCTCGGGCTCTCCGGGTCGGGGGGGAGGAGTGGATCTGGAAGCCCTTCTGGATGCTCTCGTTTCAGACATGTTTATCTTGGTTCTGGATGGCGCCTGATAGTTGTGGAGTCGTGTTTCCTTGGCGGCCGACTCTGCGCCTCCGGCGCCGCCCCTGGCGCGCTCCGCGCGCCAGGGCGAGGGTCCAGCGCCGATCCGAGAAATCCGCGCGGACCCCCGAGTTGTTATGTTTATGTCATTTTTCGTTCCCCTATACATGCGAACCCTACCCCTACCCACCACGATTTCTGAGGGGGAGGGTAGGGTTCGCTTCGCTCGGGAGCTCCCGAGCGGAGAAAACCCCACCCTCCCCCTAAGAACTCGTGGGGGGTAGGGGTAGGGTTCGCATGTGGCCCCCGGGTAAGTCCGTTCGGACATCCCTCTTTCTGATGTGCGTGTGTAGAAAGAGAGAGAGAGAGAGAGAGAGAGAGAGAACAAAAAAACGAGAGAGAGAGAGAGAGAACAGCAAAGCAAGCACAAGCAAACACTTCGGGATCAGAAGTTGAGCGAGGGAGCGGAACAGAGCAGGTGATCTTTGTCTGGCATCTGAGGGTCCCAGTGGGTTCAGCAGCCGCACGTCTGGCGTGCCAAACACGCAGCAGCCAATATTGGAGGCCTCCACCACGTTGGATAGCAGAAGCTCCGATCGAATCTTTAGTTGAGACTTCTCCTGGAGGCCGAGCCCCAAAAAAAACTCTTCCCCGCATCCTCCCTCTTCGTGCCTCCCCCTCCTTCCCTCGCCCCGCCTCTCCACCCCATGCAGTCCCACACCTCCCCTCCTCGCTCCTTCGCCCCCTTCTCCCCGCTTCCCCCTCCCCCCCCCACTCCCTTCCAGTTCGCCTCTCCCCACCTCTTCCTCTCCTGGAATGGATCGCCAATCCACCGCGGCGGATCCAGGCCGCTTGCGACCAGTTGCAGTGCGGGCGCGGCCGCAAGAAACCCTCGCAAGAAACCCAACCCTGAGAACCCGTGCGCGAGATGCACCTGAAGGGAAACCTGGAGCACCCTGAACGCAGTAGCTCCTTCAACGGCCGCGGGAAGTCGCCGCGCAGCGCAAGGGGCGGAGAAACCCGGGATACTCCGGCGAAAAGCACGACGGGAGGTTTTTCGCTCGTTTCGGCCTCTGGGGGCCTTGTGGGAGGCGCTGGTCTAGTTTTAAGTCGGGCCTGTCCCTCTACAGGGGGAAAATTGAAAAATAGTCAAAAAATAGTCTGGGGACTATTTGTTGAGTATTTTTGGCCATCGTTGGAGCATTTTTTGAATATATTTTTTTCGTCCAAAATCCCCCTGTAGAGGGACACGCCCGACCTAAGTCTAGTGCCGAGCTCGCCGCCAGCCAGCCCGAGCCAGCTGGCCCGCAGCCGCCGCCGTCGCACCTCCGGCTCCGCCGGCAGCGGGGCGGGAGGGCGTCAGCCGGAGGGCCCCGCTGCCTGTGCGAGGGCGGGGAGGCACCACGGAAGAGGGGCAAGGGGGGGAGGAGGAGCAGGAGGAGGAGGAGGAGGAGGAGGAGGAGGAGGAGGAGGAAGAGAAGCCGTAGCCATTTTGGCTCAAGCCCTCTTTAGAACCGATTGGCTCTAATGGGGGTGAGAGCCGCCGCAGCCTGGGCTCGAACGCGTGCGTCCGCCACGCGCGCGTGGGCCTCCTCTTCGGGGCGCGGCGGAGGCCTCGCCGCCTCAGGTGGTGGTGGGGCCGCGGGGTGGGAAGAGGGCACGCCGTTAGCGGTGGCGCGCGGCGAAAAATCCGCTATTTTAGCGGTGCCCTTGGGCCGCCTTCCCCCCCTAACCTCCGATGGGCCTCCTCGGTACCACCGGTGCGCGGACACGTCCGTGGCGGCCGTCCAGAAGCAGGGCTACATCGGCGGGAAGTTCAGCTTCGACGTGATCGCGAACAACCTGGGCACCAGCCTCAGGAGTGGAATTCAAGAGCTCGGACATGGGTGCCTGCTGACCGTCTGCGACGTCTCCAACAATGTCTTTACTTTGGAGAGCAGGGAGGCGAACAGCGGCCAGGACGCAGAGGGCAACGGGTACGGCACCGACAGCGTGGTAGTGCTGGCCGAGTTCTGCAAGCACGTGGGGGGTCATGGTCGGTGGCGCGCCGACTTCTTCTCCTACGTCTTCTTTTTGCTCACCTTCGTGTTCTACCCCAGGTGGTACCGTCTCCTTCGCGTTCCTCAAGGTATCTCGGTTGGCAAGATGCTCGATCCTGTCTTTTGGTGTTCGCCAATTTGGACATGCGGGACATGCCGTGGCAGGTGTGCAGCCTCTGTAGCCCCAGTTCGAGTACAACGAGGACCCGTCTGGAGTGGCCCTATTGCGGGAAGGCCCACGTGGGTGTGCATGATTGGTGTTTAGCTTGGGACGGTGCGTGTATGGATGTGGAGTTGGAAGGTTGGCGGTGCTGGCCTGGCTCACCCTCTGCTGCTGCGGTGGGACCTCGCGCTCTTCCTTGTCCTCGGCTAGCTTTGAGCCGCCTTTTGGGGCTCCTCTGTCACTAGAGGGCCCCGCCCCCTATGAGCACTCCAGGAGGAGAAAGAGAAGGAGGAGGGGGAGGAGGAGGAGGAGGAGGAGGAGGAGGAGGAGGAGGAGGAGGAGGAAAAGGGGGGGGGAGGAGGGAGGAGGAGGAGGAGGAGGAGGAGGAAGAGAGAGTAGGAGGAGGAGGAGGAGGAGGAGGAGGAGGAGGAGGAGGAGGAGGAGGAGGAGGAGGAGGAGGAGGGGCAGGAGGTGGCGGGGAGGCGGGGTGGGGAGGGGCAGGGGGTGGGAGGAGGAGGAGGAGGAGGAGGAGGAGGAGGAGGAGGAGGAGGAGGAGGAGGAGGAGGAGGACCCTAGCCATTTTGGCTCAAGCCGCTTCGGTGCAGGATTGTAGAGGCAGGAGCTACCTGGCAGGATGGACAGCACGGCCTTCACTTGCTTTCCCTGATGGTGATCCAGGCACATGCCCCCTTGGTGTACGTCTCCCTTTGAGCTCAGGTCTCAGCCTGTGTTCCACACCAGCTACAAAACTCCATATGTTCGGTTCTGGGCGCTCGCGCGCTGCCGTCAAGAGAATGGCCGCGTGGCAGCAGACGTGGTGTTGCCCCAGCAAGAACTGCGGATTCAAGTTCAATTTTGAGAAGCGTAAGACTTGCTATAAGTGTAACACGCCGAAGGGAGGGCCAGCGGCAGTCCCCCAGCCGCGTGGTGCATGGAAAGAAGAGTTACCTCCGTCAGTCCATGCGCCACTCAAGCCCAAAGGGCTGCCGCCGCTCACCGACCAGCTGATCAAGGCCTTCGCCAGCATGGGCAGTGTTGCGTACGAAGCTGCTGCGCCAACAGGCAGTGCTCCAGGGGTCGCATCCAGAGGCAGCGTGGCCCGCTGTCAGGTGACCCTTCGATCGCCTCGAAATTTTCGCAGCGCGGGCACGATCTTCTCCAAGACAAAGTGGGCAAGGCCCACAAGAAGTATGACAAGGCCGTCGCTGCCGTGCAGAGCGCCGCTGATTGGGCAGCGCTATTTGGCATGGAACTTGACAGTCTCAGAGCCCAGCAGAAGGAGGCTGCAGCTCGCGGAGCAGCGGCACTTGCCCATCTGGGAACGCAGCTCTCGCCCGACTCCAGCATCCTTGGCCCTTGCAGTGCCTTCCTCCAGCGCGCCGGAGCCCTCGGGCTACTGAGCTCGAGGCTAAGCTTGCGAGCGTGGCCAGCGAGCTGCAGGCGCTGCAGGAGGAGCTCCGGGCCAAGGGTGTGTCGGCCCGCCGCGCGCAGGCCGAGGGCTGGGCCAGGCTGGCTGAGGCGCAGGCAGGCAGCGGTACGGCGCATTGCGCGGCAGACGCTGCCAGCCAGCCAGCCCTGGCCGCCTCGGCCGCGCCAGCTGCGCAGGCCACCCCTCCTGGACATGTTCGGCAGCCTCCACCGCCTGTTCATGATGGTGCTGCTGGGCGCGCCGCTCGTGACTGGGCTTTTAGGAACGAAGAGAAGCTGTTGGAAGCGAAGCGCAACGCCGTCGACACCGATCGCGACATAGACCTCGACGATGGAATCGGCCCTGGAAATGTGAACCGCAGGGCTATGGAGCTCGTCGGTCTGGCCTTCAAGAAGATGCGCACTGGCTCAGTCTTTGTTCCCAACTCGTTGGGGTAGCAGTAAGCAGCTCACCGTTGTCGCTGCGACGTCACCAGCAAGCCAGGTATGGAGGTACTGTTGAAGTCGCACCTCGCCGACTCTTGCGATCTGTTTCTAATTTAGAAACGAAGGCTGCGGGTTTTCACTGCGATTCGCAAGAGGCTTTGTTTGCTGCGCAGGACTGGATGGGCGGCCAGTTCCAACCCTGCCTCCAACGCGGGAAAATATTGTGATGACAGTGGTTAGATGTTTACTGGGCTCTCGAGCGGTACGCTCGCGGCTGCCCCAGTGAGTCATGGTTTGAAGAGTGTTGAGCATGTGGATCGTGTCGTTGTTCCTGCACGCGTTCATGCATCTTGGCAATTAATGGGCTGCTGTTGGCTGGCAGTCTATGTTTGCGCCATTCGGATGACTTCGGCGAGCGGAAATGGCATATTCTGTGAAGTTGGCAAGCAGATCGAGATGGCAGGTATCCTTTTCATCATCGGCGCTGACTGGCAGGTAACCCCGCAGCAGCTGCAGGCGAGTGGCTGGGTCGACGGCGTCGGCGGCGTCATCGTGGCATCGGAGCAGGGCGCCGTCGCGCCCTCTGAGCGGGTCGTCGATTATTTCGCGATGAGCCCTTCCCTCGCTGCGGGGGCGCAGCCCGAAGTCATCGCGGACGCTGCTATTCTCTCCTCGCCGAACCTGCGCGGTTGCGTCTTAATGTGCCTCGTCGTCCTCTTGATGCATGCGCAGTGGCCCAGGCGCGCGGCCCCCCCGCTGAGAGGCCAGCGGGTTGCTGCCGTGAGTCCCAGGAGCCAGACTGGGACGGCACTGCGCAAAGCTGCGTGGCCGACGTTGAAAGCGCTTGGGCCAGCTTCACCACGGCTGCGGAAGGTAGGTGGGTGAACCTCTTCGACATTGAGCCTCGACGGCTGGGTTTTTCTCGCGGCATGGCGCGAGTGCCGGCGCTCTCGCCCACGAATTCGCCGCCGCGTCCTGCAGCGGCCCCTTTCCCGCAGCTGAGTGCAGCTGCTGGATGGGTGTTTCACGCGCTCAGAGATTTGCATTCCATTCCAGGGAATTGGGGCGATGTCTCCAGGCGAAGCAGGCTCGCCAGGCACGGTGGGACTCAGGGCCCCCCCAGAAGTTGCAGCGACGCTGTTGCCTTTGCGAAGTTGGTTGCCAGTAGCCCGCCCCTCTCCCCTGCCCAACTCTTCCGGCTAAGGACGCGCGCGCAGCGGCAAGCAGACCAGTTGGTTCAAGCCAGACAGCGGGGCAAGGAGCGAGGCTGGGAGGCCCGGGCGGAGAAAGCGCAGCACCAAGCACGGGGCCTCTGCGCAGCACAGTTTCTCGACAGCGCCCGCTGGGTGAACGCCTGGCGAGGCGGCTTGTGAATTTGCCCCTCTTGGAGATCTCCTGAGCAAATGGATAAGTTGCGCAGCGAATGGAGGGCTCGGTGGCGCGTCTCGGAGGCCCGCCCCCCGCATCAGTGGCTCGACCTTTCCTCGCTCGATCCTTCTCAGAGGCCCGCCGCCGAACGGGTCGAAGCAGTGCCAGTGATTTTCAGACCCCGCCACCTCCTGCTGCTAGGGGATCATGGCACCCAGGCGCTCTGCGAGGTTTTGCACCTGGTCGAGAGCCGACTTCAGTGGCCGAAGATGTGGACCAATGTGTCATTTCTTGCCAAGCGGACTGGAGGTTTCAGACCGATTGCGCACGTAGTTGCAAGTGTCTTGCGCCGTCTTCGGAGGGAGCTCCGCCGCGGGCAGCGACGACTCGCGGGGGGCCCGAGGCGAAGCCGCCCGACAAATGCGCGCGGGCGCAGACCGCGCGGGCCGAGTGGGCCCGTGCCAAGGGCGCGTCGTCGGGCACTGTGTTGGCAGACTTCAAACAGGCGTTTGGGCCAACTCGGCATCGCCACTTTCTGGCAGCAGCTGCTCGAACGGGTTTCCCCCCTTGCCTTCTTTACTTGCGCATCGGTCTTTATCGCCAGGCGCGCTTTTTAGACGCGGGCAGCTTTGCGTCCAAGCTTATTCTGTCTCAGCGAAGCGTTTTGTCAGGCTGTGCACTTTTGCTGCTGTTATGCCGCGGCTGATTCTCCTCCAGCCGCTGGATGGAGTTCGAAAAACTGTCAGGACTGGCCCCCTCGGCCATGGTCGATGACATCGGGCTGCAGCGTTTTGCAGGACCGCGTCAAAAATGACTTGGCCAGGGCTGGGATAGAGCCCAAGCGGCAGCCTGAGCTAGTAGATCTAGTCATCGCCCCTGACAGAACACGTGTTCTAGCCATCTCGGCCCTTTGCGGCGAGAGCTCGAGGCAGGCCCTGGATGTCCCGGTGGCCATGACGTGCGCGCTGAGAGAAACCTCGGGGTGGATTGCGGGTCGGGTCGGAGGCCGGGTCGGGGCGCGGAGCGCGAGCGCCTTGTAGCCGCCGTTGCCCGCTCTCGGCGTCTCAAAGCTCCACGGGAGATGAAGGGGCAGAAGTTTGTCATTCGCATTGCGAAGGCCACGTCGGGCACCAGCGCAGGGCATGGCAGCAGCGTGGCAGGCGCCCACGGCAGCGAGTTCAAGCGTTTAGGGGCAACCCGCTGCTAACCAGAGTCCCACCTCTTGGGCCTCGCTCGCGCCCCGCCTCATCTTCACCCATGGGAAGCGTGCCGATCCGATTTTCGAAGCCTCTGCTGAGCCGCTCAGCGAGTCGTTGGCCGCGTGGAGAGAAGGTTGGGCGCCCGAGCGCGCCATCAGCCAAGGCTTCGCCCACGCTCCGGAGCAAGCGAAGGGTAAGCGCGGCAGCCCGCGGCAGAGGTTCGCGGGCCCTTTTCGGCCTCTTCGGCTTCGCTGACCGCGCTTGAGCGTTTAGGAGTTGTTTTCCCGGGTTTCAGTAAGTGGTTGGTTGCTCCCCTGGGGCGTTGAAATTGACCCGGGGCGTTTTGCGCGCGTGGTTTATAGCGGTTAACCTTTCGGGCCTGCGAGCTGCGGCAGCGGCAGCAAGTGGCCGCCGCGCCCGAGGCCCCTGAGTTCGAGCAAGGCGTTATCATATAACCTGCGCCAGAGCTGCGCCGCCTCTCGCGCCCCAGGAAAAGTCGCGCCTTCGGTCGGCTGTTGACGGCGCCCAGTGGACGCGAGGGAGGCTGTGCGATGCAGGTATCGTTTCATCGCTGCCGTGCCAGATTTGCAAGGAGGAACCAAATCCTCTTTTTCACGGGCGCGTTGCTTGCGGCAGTCTTGCGTCGCTGGCCTTCAGCGCGAGGGGACCCTGAAACGCGCCCTTCCTCAGGAACCCACGGCTCTCGTGCCCCTGTTTGGCAGTCGCTGTCTGGCGCCCCGGGGCCGCTCCCCCGCCTCGCCCGAGGCTGCGCCCGAGCAAGCGTTCCAGGGTGAGAGGCGCCGCCTCCCTGGGGGCCTTGTCGTGGATGGCTCGCTGCGGGACAAACAGATTTCTCATGCTGCCGACACTGCGCGGGCCGTGATTGCCCTCTTCTGCTCCGACCCGCCGCCTCGTCGACTGCGCGGCTTCAGACCACTAGCGATTTTTGGAGGTGGGGTGGAGGGGTCGATTCAGTGCGTCGATCGTGCTGAGCGCGTCGCAGTCCTTCGCACTCAGCAAGTAGCTGTGCCACCCAGTACATTGCGCGGCGATTCAAGTTTCGTCGTCTCTGGAATCATCTGAGGGCCAGTGGCGACCACTGCTCTGGCCAGCGCGCACGTCGACGCTTGGGCTGCCGTCTGGCAGAAGATCGATGGCTGTGGTGGGCAAGGTCCTCTTGGTGTGCAGTTTGTCAAAATCAAGGCCCTCCCACCCCAATCATGCGTGTTTCCATCTCGCCCGAGGTCCTAGCTGGCAATGGCTTGACTGACGAGTGGGCGAAGAAGATAGCTCGTGCGCGGCGCGTTGGCAAGGCGCGCCGCGCGAGGCACCAAGGGTTTAGCGAGGCGGTCCGTGCGATGGGCATCCAGATAGGCAGGTCATGGAGCCAAGCCCCCCTGGGCACCGAGCGCCTCGGCAGCAGCGAGTTCCGCCAGGCGCGCGTCATGCGCAAGGCCCCCCGCGTTGCTGCTGCCATCGCCCCGCCGCCGCCGCCGCATCCCGAGCCTGGGCCCTCTGGCAATGTTGTTGTCTCGGCTTCCAATAGGCTCAGGTGGTGGACTTCTCAGGACTTGAATGGACTCATTTGCCTGGGTTGTGGAGCTCTCTCCTCGTCGCGCGCCCTCAGGCTCAGTCGGGAGTGTGGGCGCCCCAGGGTCTGGGGATCCAGGGTTTTGAAAATGCTTCGCCAAGGGCAAGCTCCTGCTTCGGGGCTCCTCGGCCCCTGCCTCCCTGAGGGAGTTTGTGCCCGAAGTCTCAGGTCCATGGCAGTGTTTCTTTCCCATGGGAAGGCTGCTCAGACAGTTTCTGGTTGGTTTTGTCAGCGTGCGTGGCCCGTTCGTGTTTCGCGCGGGTGCTCGCGCGCTGCGTCGCGCGCGCGTCAGGCACCCCGCCTCGGGGGGAATACGTTCGCGTTTTTTTTTCTCGCTCGGGTCCTGCAGACCTGGCTGCAGGTGGGGTCGCTCCCACGCGCAGCGCGAGTAGTTGGGGGCAGGTCGCCCTAACTCAGCTGTTCGTCAATGTTTGCCTCAGGAAGAGGAGGAGAAGGAGGAGGAGGAGGAGGAGGAGGAGAAGGTGGAGGTGGAGGTGGAGGAAGACAGGCAGGGGCGGGAGCAGCGGGGGGGGAGCAGCGGGGGGAGGGGGGAGGAGGAGGTCGAGGGGGTAGAGGGATTATGGAGGAGGTGCGAGGGGACAAGGGGTAGAGGAGGAGGGAGAGGGGGCGGAAAGAGAGAGAGAGAGAGAGAGAGAGAGAATGAGGAAGGGGGGAGGAGTGATAAGAGACGGCGGGGAGGGCGGAGGATTGAGGGAGGAGGGGGGCGGATGCCGAGTCTGCAGGAGGGGAAGGCGGCGAATTGGAAGAGCAACACGAAATGGGGAGCGGAGGCAGAGTGGGGAGGAGGGGGAACTGTGAAGGGGAGGGCGGGGAAGGCAGGTGGCAGGAGGCAGGAAGGTTCAGGGGAGATCCCGAGGAGAACCCAACATGTTTTCTGCTGACTTCCGAAGACTTCGGAGAACCGACGAAGATCTGATGATAGAAACCGCAGGAGACATTGGCTTCTTCGCTTTGCGCCGCACCTGCCTTCAGAGAGGGACTGTGGCACGATTCATCTGTTCAGGCCCTTTTCCGCAGGGCGACTGTGCATATGCGGACGGCCGGTCTTTGACGAACGCGCCAAAAGCGCAGCGGTTCTCGAGCCGATCCGAAGGTGTCCCAGTGGCTGTTCGGGCACGAAAAACACACACTCATCACCCACAGACCAGAAACGACCGACGACGGAATGAGGAGGCAATGAAGCAGATGATGATAAGGATACTCTGGGTTTCTTAATAAGTCAACCTCGCCTCGTCGTCGCGCTGCGCCCTGGGTCGGAACGCCCTCGGCGCGCGGTGGCTGCCCGCGACGGGGGTCGATGTGGGGCTGTCGTCGGGGGTGACGCCCCCCCCGACGCTTATCAAGAAACTCGGTGTAAAGACGACCGGGACATAGCAGGTGAGCTACGCACAAAAGCGGGGCCGACTGCGCCCACGTCGGCGCGCAAGCTGCCCGCGTAGAGTCACGCGCGAGCGCCCTCGCTTCCATTGTATGGCGTGCCGCTCTGGCGGCCTGCGTGAGCCGCGGCGTAAGGTCGTTATGCCATCTCGCGTAGGACCCGCTTCTTGTCGTCGCTCAAGTGAATCGGGCCGAACGAAAGGGGGGGATTTGGAAAGGGAGGGTTACGAAATCTGCTGCATGCAGCTGGTTTCGGCCCCACCGAGGGGCCCGTTCCTCGATACATAGCCGCCTCTGGCGCCGGGAGGCGCTGGGAAAATCAATTACGCGAGCTGATTCTCAAACCCCCCCTTTGCTATCCCCCCCTTTCGCCCGGCCCGAGTGAAAGAGGATGAGTACCCAGACGTGATCGCGTGGTTCAAAAATCAGGACGGGCGGTTTTTCCCTACTTTCGGCCCAGGGGCCCTCGCCGGGCCTCAAGATCGTCAAGCAGCGACTCAGGAGGAGAATCTGGCCTCGGGGAAAGTTCTGGACTTCCGGGGACGCCGTCCTGAAAAATCAGGACGTCGCGTGTCTGGGTACGAGGAGGAGCAGGATCACGATGAGGAACATGGGGCAGAAAAACTGGGACGAGAACGAGGGGTGCGGCTCGTGCGTGCCGAGCAGCGCCCCGCGCGACTCCCGCAGCCTCCTCCTCCTCCTCCTCCTCCTCCTCCTCCTCCTCCTCCTGCTCCTCCTCCTCCTCCGCTCCCGCCCGCCCTGCCGCCCCGCCCCCAAAGGTTCCCCGCGCGCGAGGCCAGCCGCGCTCTCGCGCGCTCGTCGCCGTCGTCACCGCCGCTACCGTCGTCGTCGTCGCCGTCGCCGTCGTCGCCGCCGTCTCAGCTGTCGTGGTCGTCGCCGTGATCGTCGTCGCCGCAGGCCGCCGCCGCCGCCGTCGTGGTCATCATCTCTGCCGCCGCCGTCGTCGTCCTCCTCGTCGTCGGCGTCGCCGTGGCCGTTGTGGCCGCCGTCGATTGTCGCGGTGGTGGTCGTTGTCGTCGAGCGAGGGCCGGGGATCGGGGCCCCGAGGCTCGAGGCCCGTCGGACGTGCTCGGGCCTCTCTTGGCCGCCTCTGCGGCGCCCCCGGTCGCCACGGCTGGGTTCGCCCCGAGGGTCTGGGCAGAGCGCGCCCCCGGGACAGGCCCGGGGGCCCGTCGTCGCTGCGTCGAAGTTTGTCCGGGATGATGTGGCCTCTCGGGGCCTCCTTTTGGCCGCCCGCGTCGCCACAGCTGGGTACGCCTCGAAGTACCGGTCAGAACGCGTCCATGGCAGGCCTAGCGGCGGTGGTTGTCGTCGGCGTCGTCGCCGTCGTGGTCGTCGCCGCTGCCACCGCCGTCGCCGTCTTCGTCGTCGTTGTTGTTATTGTTGGTGTTGTTGTGATTTGTTGCTGTTGTTGTGATTTGTTGCTGTTGTTGTTGTCGACGTCGTCGTCGTCCTCTCTCGCTCTCTCTTGCTATTCCTGCTCTCCCTGTCAGGGCTTGCGTCATCATCTGCATGTGGTGCACGCTCATCCCCGTTGGGGTCTGACCCATCCCAGGTGTCTTACCTATTGGGGTGTCATCGGTCGCTTTTAGGGTCTCACCCATCCCAAAAGGGTCGGACGTCGTCGTGTCTTGGAAGCTTTAGGTACCAAAAAAGCGAGTACGCGAACCTTATGTTCAAACCCGTCTCAGTGCTGGTATCTTCAGAGGCAGAGAGCAGCATATCGGCCTCATGAGGTGATTCCAGGGTATGTGAGATGTCAGAGGCTTGGATTCCGAGCCTCATTCCCGACGGCTCGGAACAGTAGTGCGACAAGGTTCAGACACGCCCAGGGGGTCCCAGAATGTTTGAGCCATGTGTTTTTGTGTTTTGTGTTTTTCCCAATTCGAATATTTCGAAAGGGCTTGTGGGCATTTCATTTCATTCCTCTTGAGGCGGTGGCGGAGTAGTATCATTTGTAGTGTCATTTTGACAGGAACTGCCACCGCCATTACTGCTGCTGCTGCTGCAACTACCATTGCTTCCCCCCGTAACTCTGGCGGTGGTACACTGTCGTGTTCATCTTTCTTCCGCTGCCGCGCGCACCTTTGCCTGCTCCGAGTTTCTCAGCAAGCGTCGGGGGGGCCTCACCCCCGCCGACAGCACCGCGTCGACCCCCGTCGCGGGCAGCCGCCGCGCGCCGAAGGCGCTCCGACCCCGGGCGCAGCGCGACGACGAGGCGAGGTTGACCCCCGTCGGGGGGGGGGCCCCCACGCTCGCTAGATTGTAGCCGGAGTGCGGTATCCCCAGACAGGGTTTTTAGACCCACTGCGGTTTCCAAGGTCGATTGCGTGCCAGTCCAGTGCGGGCTGGCATGGCATGTTAAAACATGCCTCCTCCTCCTCCTCCTCCTCCTCCTCCTCCTCCTCCACCTCCTCTTCATCCCGAACGGCATCTCGGAGCCCAGAGCTGCGAGGATGTCTCCAGCGTAACGGGCTGGACCACCTCGCGCGCGGCATCTCGGACCCCAGAGTTGCGACGATGTCTCGGGCGAAACGTGCTGCGAGGAAGTCTCAGGCGAAACAGGCCAGACCACCGCGAGCGCGGCGTCTCAGAGCTCCGAGTTGCGGGGGCCTCCTGGGGCCTCCTGGGGCCTCCTGGTGACCTCCTGGGGCCTCCTGGTGACCTCCTGGGGCCCCCAGGAGTCCTGGGCCTCCTGTGGCCTCCTGGACCCCACCTGGGGCTTCCTGAAGCCTCTTGGGTCTTCCAGGGGGGGATATCTAACATGTGGCCGTCGGGGCCCCCAAAAATGGGGGGGGGGGCACAAGAGCAGGAAAAATCAACGAATCGGCACCGGATGTGTATTAACTTGACACGTTCTGATAAAAGGGGCCTCCTGGGGCCTCCTGGGAGCCTCCTGGGAATCTCCTGGGGACCCCTGGGGCCTGTCCTGGGCGTCCTGCGGCCTCCCGGAGCTCTCTGGGGCCTCCTGGGGCTCCCAGGGTTCCAGGGGGGATATGTAACATGTGGTCTTCTGGGCCCCCAGGCTGGACCACCTCTTGCGCAGCATCTGAGAGCTCAGAGTTGCGAGAATGTCTTGTGCGAAACGGGCCGGACCACCTTGCGCACGGCATCTCAGAGCTCAGAGTTGCGAAGATGTCTCAGGCGAGACGGGCCAAACCACCTCGCGCAGGGCATCTCGGAGCCCAGAGTTGCGAGGATGTCTCCAGCGTAACGGGCTGGACCACCTCGCGCGCGGCATTTCGGACCCCAGAGTTGCGACGATTTCTCGGGCGAAACGTGCTGCGAGGAAGTCTCAGGCGAAACAGGCCAGACCACCGCGAGCGCGGCGTCTCAGAGCTCCGAGTTGCGGGGGCCTCCTGGGGCCTCGTGGGACCTCCTGGTGACCTCCTGGGGCTTCCTCCTGGGCCTCCTGTGGCCTCCTGGACCCCACCTGCGACTTCCTGAAGCCTCTTGGGGCTCCCAGGGGGGGATATCTAACATGTGGCCGTCGGGGCCCCCCAAAATGGAGGGCCACAAGAGCAGGAAAAATCAACGAATCGACACCGGATTTGTATTAACTTGACACGTTCTGATAAAGGGGCCTCCTGGGGCCTCCTGGGAGCCTCCTGGGAATCTCCTGCGGACCCCTGGGGCCTGTCCTGGGCGTCCTGCGGCCTCCTGAAGCTCTCTGGGGCCTCCTGGGGCTCCCAGGGTCCCAGGGGGGATATGTAACATGTGGTCTTCTGGGCCCCCAGGCTGGACCACCTCTTGCGCAGCATCTGAGAGCTCAGAGTTGCGAGAATGTCTTGTGCGAAACGGGCCGGACCACCTTGCGCACGGCATCTCAGAGCTCAGAGTTGCGAAGATGTCTCAGGCGAGATGGGCCGGACCACCTCGCGCAGGGCATCTCGGAGCCCAGAGTTGCGAGGATGTCTCCAGCGTAACGGGCTGGACCACCTCGCGCGCGGCATTTCGGACCCCAGAGTTGCGACGATGTCTCGGGCGAAACGTGCTGCGAGGAAGTCTCAGGCGAAACGGGCCGGACCACCTCGAGCGCGGCGTCTCAGAGCTCCGAGTTGCGGGGGCCTCCTGGGGCCTCCTGGGACCTCCTGGTGACCTCCTGGGGCTTCCTCCTGGGCCTCCTGTGGCCTCCTGGACCCCACCTGGGGCTTCCTGAAGCCTCTTGGGGCTCCCAGGGGGGGATATCTAACATGTGGCCGTCGGGGCCCCCCAAAATGGGGGGGGCCACAAGAGCAGGGAAAGTCAACGAATCGGCACCGGATGTGTATTAACTTGACACGTTCTGATAGGGGGCCTCCTGGGGCCTCCTGGGAGCCTCCTGGGAATCTCCTGGGGACCCCTGGGGCCTGTCCTGGGCGTCTTGCAGCTTCCTGAAGCTCTCTGGGGCCTCCTGGGGCTCCCGGGTTCCAGGGGGGATATGTAACATGTGGTCGTTTGGGCCCCCAGGCTGGAACACCTCCTGCGCGGCATCTGGGAGCTCAGAGTTGCAAGAATGTCTTCTGCGAAACGGGCCGGACCAGCTTGCGCACGGCATCTCAGAGCTCAGAGTTGCAAGGATGTCTCAGGCGAGACGGGCCGGTGTCTCGGGCGAAACGTGCTGCGAGGAAGTCTCAGGCGAAACGGGCCGGACCACCTCGAGCGCGGCGTCTCAGAGTTCCGAGTTGCGGGGGCCTCATGGTGCCTCCTGGGGACCTCCTGGGGCTTCCTCCTGGGCCTCCTGTGGCCTCCTGAACTCCACCTGGGGTTTCCTGAAGCCTCTTGAGGCTCCCAGGGGGGGATATCTAACCTGTGGCCGCTTGGGCCCCTCAAAATGGAGGGGGGGGGGGCCACAAGAGCAGGAAAAATCAACGAATCGACACCAGATGTGTATTAACTTGACACGTTCTGATAGGGGGTCTCCTGGGGCCTCCTGGGAGCCTCCTGGGAATCTCCTGCGGACCCCTGGGGCCTGTCCTGGGCGTCCTGCGGCCTCCTGGAGCTCTATGTAACATGCGGTCTTCTGGGCCCCCAGGCTGGACCACCTCTTGCGCGGCATCTGAGAGCTCAGAGTTGCGAGAATGTCTTATGCGAAACAGGCCGGACCAGCTTGCGCACGGCATCTCAGAGCTCAGAGTTGCGAGAATGTCTTGTGCGAAACGGGCCGGACCACCTCGCGCAGGGCATCTCAGAGCTCAGAAGTTCGAGGATGTCTCAGGCGGGCTCCCAGGGTCCCAGGGAGGATATGTAACATGTGGTCTTCTGGGCCCCCAGGCTGGACCACCTCTTGCGCGGCATCTGGGAGCTCAGAGTTGTGAGAATGTCTTGTGCGAAACAGGCCGGACCACCTTGCGCACGGCATCTCAGAGCTCAGAGTTGCGAGGATGTCTCAGGCGAGACGGGCCGGACCACCTCGCGCATGGCATCTCAGAGCTCAGATGTTCGAGGATGTCTGAGGCGAAACGGGCCGGACCACCTCTCGCGCGGCATTTCCGAGGTTAGAGTTTCGAGGATGTCTCAAGCGAAACGGGCCAGACCACCTCGCGCAAGGCATCTCAGAGCTCAGAGTTTCGAGGATGTCTCAGGCGAAACGGCCCGGACTACCGTTCGCACGGCACCTCGGGGCTCAGAGTTTCGAGGATGTCTCAAGCGAAACGGCCAATCCCGGCCAACTCAGAAACGAGAGTTGTGAGGATGTCTCAAGCGAAACGGCCCTGACCATCAAATTTTTGTGAGGATGTCTCTGCTCCGACTTTCCTCGGCCGGAGTTAGCTTCTATCACAACAGCGCCCCGTTCAGCAAGCTGTATGGGGAAAAACCCAGAGTCTTCTTCCATAGCCCCTTGTTGGCTCTGGCGTCTTCCATTTTCCTGCAGGTCCAGTGCCCAGTGTCGTTGCCGCAGGCGCGTGTGCTCGGCATCGCAGGGGCCTCTCCTCGCCGCCCATGTCGGCCCCTCCGAGGGACGAGCAGGACTTGTTTCTGGAGGAGGCCTTCGGCTTCGCGGCGGAGCAGCGGTTCTACCTCCGCAAGGCCATCCAGCAGAACGACATGGAGAACGCCCTCAGATACAGCATCTGCCTCACGAACGAGCTGAGATCCTCGATGCTGCAGCCGAACAAGTACTACCAGCTGTACGCCCTGGTGTTCTGGGAGCTGCAGCACCTGGGCGCGTTCGTGGGCAGGGAGGAGCGCCACGGGCACCGGCTGGCCGACGTCTACGAGATGGTGCAGTACGAGGGGAACGTGCTGCCCCGCCTGTACCTGCTGGTGACCGTCGGGGCCGTGTACATGAGGGAGGTCTGCGACCCCGCCCTCGCCAAGGGGATCCTCGAGGACCTGGGCGAGATGCTCGGCGCGGTGCAGCACCCAGTCCGGGGGCTCTTCCTGCGGTACTACCTGCTGCAGATGGTCAAGGACAAGCTGGGCGAGCTCGACAGCACGCGAGACGCGCTTCAGTACCTGCTCCGCAGCCTCCGGGAGGCCATCAGCCTCTGGTCGCGCCTGCGGCTGAGCGACGGGCAGCCTACCCCGGGCAGGCTGGGCGGCAGCGACGCCGGCGGCGATGCGCCGAGCGACCTCATCAGCTCGGAGCCCTCGCCGGTGGCGAGGCCCTCCGCCGCCGCGGCCAGCGACGGCGGCGCGTGCCACCAGGACGCGGACGCCAACGCGTTCTCCGCCGCGTGGCTGCTCGACCGCAACCGGCACGCGCTGCGCTTCCTGGTCGCCGCGCACCTGATGCACATCTCGGAGAAGAGCGAGCGGCGCAGGCACGGGCCTTCGGAGGGCCGCCCCCATGGCGGCGCCTGGAGCGCTGCCCCTGGCGCGGGACGCGCCAGGGAGGGGAGTTCGGCGCCGATGAAGAAGTCCGCGCGGACCTCCGAAGGCTTGTGTGTTGTGCAGTTATGTTCTTCTTCTGTGATCGCCAGGCTGGAATCGCTGACCCTGGAGTTGTACAAGGAGCTCGTCCTCCCCGAGGTGCTGCGGGTCAGCAGCTCGTGCGAGGACGCCGCTGGTCAGGCCTACCTCCTCGAGTGCTTCGTCGAGGTGTTCCCCGACCGCTTCCACCTGGGCACGCTGGATGTCATCCTGGCGGCCAGCGGCCAGGTGAACTGGGTGGTCGACCTGCGGCCGCTGCTGCAGCACCTGCTCCAGCGGATCACCGTGCACAGCGCAGAAGAGCAGACGGCGGCACGAGCACGAGCTTCCGGAGGTGCGCGCGGAGCCCTCGGGTCGGCGCTGGTCCCCGCGGGCCCCCTCCCCGTGCCCCTCCCTGGCGCGCGGAGCGCATCGGGTGCGGCGCCGGAGGCGCCGCCGGGGGTCGCGGGCCGGGGGGGCCTGGCGCCGACCCCGGAAGCTGGACACCTGGCGGTGCTTTTTTTTTTTGTTGTTGTTATCCCAGCCCCGGGTGTCCCGGCACCTTCCCTGGGCCCCGGGCCCCTCCCAGGAAGGGGACCACATGCGAACCCTTCCCCTGCCCCCTGCGAAGTGAACCCAGCCCTCCCCCTCGGAAATCGTGGGGGGTGGGGGAAGGGCTCGCATGTGGCCCCCTATCTTGGGTGCACCGCCGGTGGGCCCCCAGGCCCCCCGAGGGCGGGCCCCGGGGGCCGGGCTCGAAGAAGAGCGCAGGACTCGACCAGGCTGCACAGCAGGAGATCTAGGGTTGAGTCGGGCCCGTCCCTCTACAGGGGGTTATCTTCAAAAATAGTCAAAACCATAGTCTGGGGACTATCTTTTGAGTATTTCTGGGCATCTGTGGAGCACTTTTGGGGTATCTTTCATTTCTCGTCCAGGAATCTTCAAAAATAGTCAAAACATAGTCTGGGGACTATCTTTTGAGTATTTCTGGGCATCTGTTGGGCATTTTTGGGGTATCTTTTATTTCTCGTCCAAAATCCCCCCTGTGGGGGGACAGGCCCGACTTGCATCCAGGGGCCCCGCGCGGGCCTCCAGGAGGCCGTGCCACCCTCTGCCCTTCCGGCCGTCGGGGAGCTGGGCGGCGGCGCGAGGCCCCCGCTCGACGCCTTCGCGGTGTTCCACGCGCACCTGGAGATCGGGGGCGGCATGGAGGGGGGTGATGACCGGGGGGGGGGGGGATATCACGGCGGGGGCCATGATACGGCAGGTTTGCGTCGTGTCGACCAGCGGCGACCCCAGCGCGGGCGTTCAAGGTTGAACGCCGCCGGCGACCCAGAATCGATCGATGTGGAAGGATTGGACGTTGCGGCAGCGGCCGATCGTTCAAGGTTGAACGATCCCTGCGGTGTCAAAAACCAAGGCTGGGGTCGGCACGGCACGAACCTGCCGTATCCAACCCCCCTCTTGGACCCCCCCCCCTGTCGGACACCCCCCTCTGGGCCGCCCCCCGAGGAGAGGCTGCGCCGGCGGCCCCGCGGCCCCGCGACCCCGACGGCGTCGCTGCTGGCGCTGCAGCTGGAGCTCGGGCTGTCGGCCCTCGCGCTGCACCCGGGCGACGCGGCGCGCGCGGAGCTGGTGCTCGGCAAATTTGCACGAGCGAAATGGTCTAGGCCCCCTAGATGGGGTCAGAGTAGATGGGGTCGGAAGACCCCATCTATTCGGACCCCATCCAGGAGGCCTCTAAATGGGCACGGAGAGAGTGGGTGCAATGCCCAACAGCGGATTTTGTTCATTTTGAGCAGGACTCGCTGTCCAAGCCGCCGCGGCCTGTGTCCACTCGGGACAGAAGGCCACCTGCCCAACAGCGGCCGCTGTTGGTTTGGGACAACAGTTGTTGTTGGGCATTGTACCCACTGCGGGCGTCCAAAATCTCAGGAGCTGAGCCGGTTCTTTGGCCGTCCCGGGGTTCGCCGCGGGCCCTTGGAGGCCGAACCTGTCCTGGACGTTCACGCCGTTCTGTTGGCAGCAGCGGCGACCACGACGATCCCCCCTCGGCGACGGCGACGATGGACAGCGAGTCTCGTTCAAAATGAACAAGATCCGCTGTTGGGCACTGTGCCCATTCTTTCCGTACCCACTTCGGGCGTCCAGAGGCAAGGCTCCGGGTTGCGCAGGGGCGGCCCCCTCAGGCAGTCCCGGCTGGCCTCGGCAGGCCCCCCGAGTATAGTCGTGAGTCGGGCCCGTCCCTCGAGAGGAGGAATCTTCAAAGATAATATGAAATTATAGCCGGAGTGCAGTATCCCCAAACAGGGTTTTTAGACCCACTGCGGTTTCCAAGGTCGATTGCGTGCCCGTCCACTGCGGACTGGCATGGCATGTTAAAACATGCCTCCTCCTCCTCCTCCTCCTCCTCCTCCTCCTCCTCGTCCACCTCCTGATCATCCTGAAAGGCATCTCGGCGCCCAGAGTTGCGAGGATGTCTCCAGCGTAACGGGCTGGACCACCTCGCGCGCGGCATTTCGGACCCCAGAGTTGCGACGATGTCTCGGGCGAAACGTGCTGCGAGGAAGTCTCAGGCGAAACGGGCCGGACCACCTCGAGCGCGGCGTCTCAGAGCTCCGAGTTGCGGGGGCCTCCTGGTAATGGAAATGGAAATGGAAATCCGCAAGGGAAGCAAACGACAGGAAAAAGACAGGCTCGGCGCCCCCGCCGGAGCCGCTGAGAGGCTAGCCCCCGCGCATAGCCTCACCTACTCCTCGATGTCGGAATCGTCCTCCTCCGTGGCCCTGGCGCGCCGCCGCTGGCGCCAGCGATTGACGGCCGCCTCCACGTCTTCCTCGTTCAAGCCGTATGCTGCCAAGATCTCAACCCTGGTCAGCATGCGCCTGGGCGCCCCCCTCCCCATCTGGGGTCCGACCGTGGGCCCTGCCACTGGTGCGCGGCCGAAGTCTGGCCCCAGGCACGCGGCGAGGTCCGCCGAAGTTGGCTCCCGCAGCGTGGAGAGCACCCACGTTCGGCACTGCCGATGCCCCGGGTGCCGGCCGTCAGCCAGGCGGGCTCTCTGGCTCTGGAGCGTGGTTGTGGTTGCCCCGTGGCACGTGCCTGCCAGGTTGCGGGCGTATCTCGTGCCATAGGCTCCGCACCTCAGGCACGCCACCAGGGTCTGGGGCGGGCGGCCCGGAGCGGTGGCCTCGGCAGCCCGGAGCTGATGCGAAGCCGCTCCGGATCCTTTGCGTGCCGCCCCTCTGACACCGCCGCTGTCGACAGCCGCGGGCCCACCGCTGGCTTCGGCGTGCGCGGTGCTAGGGCCGTCGCCGACGACCAGCTCCACCTCGGCGCCGCCCTCTGGCTGCCCCTGCGGCCGGGCCTCCAAGCCATCGCAGTCCTTGGTGCCCTCGTCGGCCAGGACCGCGTGGAGCTCCCCTGACCAGCGCGCGGCCTCCTGGGCGATGTCGTACAGCGTTAGCGTGAGCTCCTCAGCCTCCGCGGGCATGCTGTGGCACTCTGCCCTGTGCTTGGCCCACGTGTCGGCGGCCGCGTTGCCGGCGCGCTCCCAGTGGGTTGTCCTCCCCGCAGCGACGTCGGCGTGCGTGGCGTGAGCGAGGACTTTCGTGACTGTGAAGTCCCCGAGCCCGAAGGAACCCCAGAATGGGCCCCACAGGTGTGCCCGCTCGTCCCCTGAGGAGTCCCCTGGCCCGCGCCTGAGAGCGGCCACGGTCCCAGCACAGTCAACGAAGAGGTCGAGGTGCCCCAGTGCAACCAGCGGGAGCGCGAAGATGGCGAAATCCTCGCCGTCGCGGCTGAGCTGCCTGGGGCACATGGCCAGCGGCACCGGCCCATACGCAGCAGCCTCAGGTACGCCCCAGCGGTTGCACTGAACAACTGCCCACCCAGCCCGGCTGATGCCCGGGAGGCGCCCTGCGAAGGCGGAGCCGTCAGTGAACAGCATGCCCCCGAGGCGGCCCGAGCTGGGCCGATTCCACCAATGGATCTCGAACTCCTGGCAGCCGATGTCGCTCCAGAGGTGCTGGGGGTCCGGGAAGATCCCGCGCGCGAATCGCTCAGCAAACAAGGGCCCCTCGCGCTGCGCCCGCCGGGCCCTCGCCACCAGAAATGGGGATGCTGCGGTCCGCCTGCGGCTGGCATGGGCATCGCACTCGTACACCCTGTGGAAGATCGTGCCAGCCTTAGCCCGGCACAGCTTGCACAGCCCGCACGCTGCGAGGCCATGGCGCCGGAGCCGCTCCTGGCACCAATGCGTGTTGCCCACAAGGGCCCGGAGGGAATTCTGCTGCCGCTTTGTCCAACTGCGTGCCGATCCCCACAGCAGCGGCCGCAGGGCCAGCCAGCTGATCGGCTGCACCCAGCGGTGGTCGTCACGCACCTCCTTGGCCTCGCGCGCCAGTGCCATGCAATCCGAAGCACGCCAAGCGGCGTCTTGGGCGAGACGGGCAACCAGACTTGGGGCCGTGCGCACCAGGTCCAAGCGGGCGCCCGCGTCGGTGACCAAAACGGCCTCGTCCTCGAAGCGCCAGCCGCACCGACCCAGCGTCAGCAGCGCCACGTCCGCGGGGGAGATTGCCTGCGACCACGGGTGCCGGAGGTGGCCCAAGCGCGCTGCGGCGTCTGTCAGGCACGCTCGGAGGACTCCGCGCGGCGGCAAGCCCTCCCAGACAGCGCGAGCCCACTGCTGCGCCACAGCCCCCGCGTTGATGGCCAACGGATCCGTGCTTAAGAGGCGCCCGAAGGAGGCGAGCCGAAGTCCGACCGAGGCGCCCCTGGCCACAGGCCCAAAGCTGCGTGCAACCTGCACCCGGAGCTGGTGCAAGACCGTGGGGGCCAGCCCAGTCACGGTGGTACCCCACGTGGCTTTGGCGGTAGGCCCGCCGCGCTGGATGCCGTGAACAGGCCCGTCCCCGCTGCGGAAACTCCAAAGTCGGACTGCCTGCGCCCGCGCCGTGGCCTGCCTTTCGGCGCAGATGCTGACTCGGCGGCGGCTCCCGTCGTTGGCGTCGGTCCCAAGGTTCCGCGCATGCTGCACCTTGGCCGCGGGGCCAAGCGCCCAGCGCGGCGCGAGGGCAGCCTCGACCCCCGCGTCCGAGACGAGGTACGCGAGCTTCTTCTCGTGCACGGGCAGCTGCAGCATCAAAAGGCTATCGATGACGTCCCTGGTCGCGCTGCCAAGCTGCTCTGCCACCTTCCCTTGCGTCCCGACACCCTGGATGGCGATATCGTCGACGACGTTGCGAATGGCGACGCACGGCCTGCCAACCATGGCATCCCGGAGGGGCTTGATGAGGAGGAGTTTGGCCAAAGAGGTCGCGCCGGAGCAGCCGGCCACGATCGTCCCGGTGGGCCGCACCTTCCGTGAGACAGCGCTGTCCCAGATGACCACCCTGGGGGCAACGTAGGTGGTGCACAGGGCCCGCAGCACCCGCATGGGGAAGCCCTCCGCGCGCCCGGCCTGCAGAAGGTACTCGTGATTCACCTCCTCGTAGAACTTGCGGATGTCGATCAGTGCGGTGGCTGCCGACATGCCCGTGGCCCGCGCGTATCGCTGCAACATGTTGTGCACCCATCCCGCGCGCTCGCAGGACTTCGAGCCGCCACCCCAGAAGGCGCTGCACGGGTGCGCCTGCTCCCAGGCCCTGCACAGCGGCTGCCGCGCCCGGCTGTAGATCTTGAACAGCAGTGGCAGCAGCCCAATTGGCCGGACGCCCCCGTCAGGTTTCCCAAGGAACACGATGCTGTTCACTAGCATGTCGGCCATGCCGACGGTCTGCTCCGGCTGCGCTTCGAAGTGGTTGAGCAAGTCTACAAAGCGCTGCTGGGTCTCCAACGGCAGATCGAGGATCCAGCGCGGGTGGAACTTGTCCCAGCCCAGGCCCGCCTTGGGCTTGTAGCGTCGGCACACGTGCAGGACCTCAGGCAGGGAAATGGGCGGCAAGATATCCCTGCAGCTCCATGCCCAAGGTTCTGATCCAGCATGCCGGGTCCACATGGGCAACCACTCCTGCAGCAGCACCTCCAGTGCTGCGACCCCGTTGACGGGCAGCGGGCAGGGCCCCGAGGCGGCCTCGAGCAGGGCCTCGGCCGGCGGCAGCGGCCCCTTGATCCTCCGGTGGGCGATTCGCCCTCCGTTCTGCACGGCGCCCGCCGCGAAGGTGCGCCAGCGCGCCCGCGCGGCTGCCGTGTGGGTCGCCTGCACCTGCGCCTCCGCGGTCTGAAGTTCCTCCAGCGCGCGCTGGCGCATCATGTCGTCCACCCCGTCCAGCTGGTCCAGGAGCTCCTGGGCCCGCCCTGGCGTGATGCCAGAGTCCTGGAAATCCAACGTCTGGATGGTGCGTCGGAGGACGCACTGCCACTGAGCGCGGAGTGCACGCCCTCCTGCCCCGAGAGGTCGTCCTGCCAAGCTGGCTGCCTTCCCTGCGAGCAGCTGGAAGCTCTTCCACATGGATGCGCGGCCGTCGAGGCGCTCCACCAGCGCGCGGTCCCAGGCATTATGGAGAGGGACCCGTACCAGGCGGTATCCCTCGGCGCGGCCAGGCCTGCGTGCATTCGCCTCCTGAGCGTCGTGCAAGACGTCGAGCTGCACCTCGGCCGCGGTGAACCATTCGCCGAGCCCTTCTGCCAAGGAAGGGGGTGCCGAACCGCCGCTCCAAGACCAATCCACACCTGGCGGCAGGGCCCGCGGCCCTATCCAGGGCTCCGTGGGGTAGGCCTTGCATCGCCGCACCTGGGGAACACACGTGTGCTGTCCCAGGCCCGCCAACTTCAGGTGCACGGGACTGTGCGGGAAGGTGGGCGCACCTCCCATGATCCGGACCTGCGCCACCAGGGGCCGGAGTTCCCGAGCCACCACGAAGAAGTCGAACGTGGCGGTGCAATCGTCTGGCTCCGGGCTGCGAGCCCAGCACGTGGCGCCGGAGGGCGCAACGATCACACCCAGGAGGGAGTCGGCCCACTGCGAGTCCTCCAACACCTGCGCGCTGATGTTCCAGTCCCCCTGCACGACCCACGGCACGTCCAGCTTCAGGATCTCCGCCGCCAGCAGATCCAGCAGCCCGATGTTGTAATCGCCGAGCCTGGAGCTGTCTTCCAGGTAGACCGAGAATGCGGCCACCCTCATGCCGCCTATGTTCAGGACCCGTCCTGCCAGGCAGCCCTGGTAGGCCTCACCCATGTCGAGCTCGAGGGGGCTCGAAGGGATGGCCTGGGAGACTCCCACCGCCACACCCCCAGAAGATTCGAGCGGGCCTGGACCCGTCGGGGCAGCCCTGCTGAAAGTCATGGCCATGTGGCGCCGGCCAGCCCACTCCCGAGCGCGTCCTTCGCGCTCGGTGCACTTCAACCGCGTCTCCTGGACGCACCACAGCCCGGGCGAGCGCCGGCGGCCCTGCTCCTCCGTGAGGGCCACGTACCAATCCAAGGCTGCCTGGGCCGAGCTCCACGTGTTGGCGTTGACCCCAAATATGTGCAGGTCGGCAGCCGTCCGGCCTGCCGTCAGCAAAGGCATGCCCTCCTCACCTCTACGATCCGTCTCTGGCCGGCGAGGCCGGGACAGGAGGGGCGCGGAGCTCCGAGGAAACGTGTCCGGCTGCGGGGCGTCTGAAACGCCCCCGGGGGCGCTGAGGGCGCTACCCCAGCGACTTCTTCTTGCTGATGGTCTTGGCGACCAGCTGCCCGGCCAGCCGCACGGCCGCCTTGGCCTTGGCTCGCCTGGCTGAACGATCGCTGTCACCAGCAGCAGCACCACCACCACCAGTGTCCAGCTCGTCCAAGACCGCGTCGAGGGCAGCCTGGTCCTCCCCATCAAGCATGTCGAGGTCTGGGAGTTCTGGATGGGCTTCAGCTCCTCCTCCTCCTCCTCCAGCTCCGGCGACACCTCCTCCAACTCCTCCCGATCCAGCGGCAGCGCCGGCTGTTCCAGCCGCCGGAGCAGCAAGTGCTGGCGCCGCGCCTGCGGGCGGGGCAAGGCCACCTGCTGCAGCTCCGCGTACCGCCTGCGACTGCTCCTGCGCGGTCTCCGTGGCGATGTCAGCCTTAGCAGCGGCCTCCAGGGCGTCCAATGCCGCCTTGTAGGGGCCGGCGGTGTCGCCAACCAGGAGGAGCGCACTGACCGCGGACAGCGGTACTTTCGCTACGCTCTCCATCAGCCGCAGCATTCATTCTCTCTTCGAACGTGCTGTGCAGGAGCACGCTTGCTTCCTCAGGGTGCTGGAAGGTCGTTTCTTACAGCGCAAAGCCCGCGACGCCATTAGCAGTGAAGTCCAGAAATGGCTGGCGCGCTGGGGGCAGCCCCAGGAGCGTCAGCGTCTCATCGCTCTCCTGGACGGCGCGGTATCTGAAACACAAGGATTCGGATTCTTTTTGTGGCGAGTTCCGTCGTAGAGCACTCTGCCGCTGCCTCTGGCGCAGGTGCCCGCGGGTGCCTCAAGGCGCCCATCGAGTGCCAGCAATTTACGCCAGAGAGTTTAACGCTCTCCGAAACGTCTCCGCTGCCTCTGGCGCGTCCGCTGCCTCTGGCGCGTCCGCTCGCTCTGGCGCGTTCGCTGTAGGATGTAGTAGTGTTTGTGGTGTACTATGTGATTGTTCTTTCACGCGGCAATGGCTTGCGGGCTGCCTCTGGCGCTTCCTTCGTAGGGTTCTCGAAACTAGGGCTGCGTACTAGGAGCTCTGGATTGCGACTCCCCGACTCTCCGACTCCCCGACTCCCCGACCGACTCCCCGACTCCCCGACCCCCCGATTCCGACTCCCCGACAAGTCCCGGACTCTCCGACGACTCTCCGACTCCCCGATTCCCCGACTCCCCGACTCCCCGACTTCCCGACTCCGCGACTCCCCGATTATCCGACTCCGCTCCCCGTTTCCGACTCGCCGACTTCCCGATTCCCCGACCCCCTGATTCCCCGACTCCCCAAGATGGCGCCATAGGAAGGCCCCGCGCGTCATCGCAGCCTCACCGGCCCAAGCGAGCCTCTGAGCCTCAGCCGCTGCCTCCCAGCCCTGACGAAGACTCTGAGCCTCAGCCGCTGCCTGTGGCGCGCTCCCCCCTGGGGCCTGTCCTGGGCGTCCTGCGGCCTCCTGGACCTCTCTGGGGCCTCCTGAGGCTCGCAGGGTCCCATGGAGGATATGTAACATGTGGTCTTTTGGGCGCCCAGGCTGGACCACCTCTCGCGCAGCATCTGAGAGCTCAGAGTTGCGAGAATGTCTTGTGCGAAACAGGCCGGACCACCTTGCGCAGGGCATCTCAAAGCTCAGAGTTGCAAGGATGTCTCAGGCGAGACGGGCCGGACCACCTCGCGCAGGGCATCTCAGAGATCAGAAGTTTGAGGATGTCTCAGGCGAAACGGGCCGGACCACCTCTCGCGCGGCATCTCCGAAGTCAGAGTTTCGAGGATGTCTCAGGCGAAACGGGCCGGACCACTTCGCGCAAGGCATCGCAGAGCTCAGAGTTTCGAAGATGTCTCAGGCGAAACGGCCCGGACCACCTCTCGCACGGCACCTCGGGGCTCAGAGTTTCGAGGATGTCTCAAGCGAAACGGCCCGGACCACCTCTCGCGCGGCGTCCCGGAGCGCAACTTTTCGAGGATGTCTCAGGCGAAACGGCCAATCCTGGCCAACTCAGAAACGAGAGTTGTGAGGATGTCTCAAGCGAAACGGCCAAAAACATACAATTGTTGTGAGGATGCCTCTGCTCCGCGTTCCCTCGGCCGGAGTTAGTTTCTATCACAACAGCACCACGTTCAACAAGCTGTTTGGGGAAAAATAGTCTGGGGACTATTTTTTGAGTATTTTTGTGCAAGTTTGGAATATGTGTCGGGGTATTTTTTATTTTTCGTCGAAAATCACTCTGTTGGGGGACACGCCCGACTTAAGTATAGTCCCGGCTGACCTCGACAGGCCTTCAGAGCAGTCCCAGCTGGCCTCAGCAGCCCTCTCTGGCAGTCCCGGGCGGTCTCCACACCCTCTGGCGCCTCCTCCAGATTGCTCGGGGGGGCTTGTTGAGGCCAGCCGGACTACCTGGGGGTCTTCTGTGCGCAATCCGAAGCCTTACCATGGGGGGAAGAGATGCCGATATTGGGGTGGACATGCGTCCATTCATCGACCTTCTTTAGGACGCAAGTCGGTCAGGTTTTGTGATCAGCTCGGGGCCACTGGACCATGCATGTTCGGATGCTCTGCTTGGCTGTGCGAGAACACTTTTGCGCCCTGACCTCGTCCTGGAGAGCCCTTGTCGCCACGGCCAGACTTTCTTCGAGGTTATGGTTAGAGTTCGGCGACCACGTGCGAGCCCACCACTGCGGGTCCAATCGACGCCAGGGTATCGGATACCCCCGCTGGGGTTCACTCGGCTGCAGACGTCCTGCGAAGTCTGAACCCCAGCCAGCGCCTCGGAAATTCGACCGGCAGGGACAGGGTTCACATGTGGTTGCCCAAGAGTGCACCAGCGTGAGAGAGGCATGCGGAGCAGCGGTCTCGGCATTCTTGTTCCCCCCTGCCAGGTGCTGCGCGGCACCGCCGAGCTGCTGGAGCAGCGCACGGGTGACCCGCTGGACGCGGCGTCGCAGGCGGCGGTGGTGGACATCCTGGCGTCCCCGCTTACGCAGGCAGGCGCTCGCCGTCGCCGTCGCCGGCGCCGCCACCGTCGTCGTCGTCGTCGTTGTCGTCGTCGTCGTCGTCGTCGTCGTCGTCGTCGTCGTCGTCGTCGTCGTCGTCGCCGCCGTCGTCGTCGTCTTCTTCGTCGTCGTCGTCGTCGTTGTCGTCCATCTCTTCTCCGCCTCGTGCTGGTTCCCCCTGCGTGCTATTCTTCCTCTTCCTCTGGCCACGATCGCGCCCCCTTCCACGGGCCCCAGGATGGGGCTCTCGCCTCAGCGCCGCGTACATGCGTCTGAATGTCTGGGGCATGTCTGGGCCGTTTGGGGGGCCATGCCTGAACCGTTGTGATGGCCTCGTGAGGCGCTGTCTTGGGGCCCCCTTGGGGCCATTTTGTGGGCGTCGTTACCAGTCTTGGGGGTCTCTTGGTCCGCAGCGGGGCCACCTTGGAGGCCCATGGGGCCGTCTTCGGAGGTCAGAAGTTAAAAAGAGGCGATGACGCGAAAATCGTGCACTCCCCAAACAGTGCTTGTACTTAAGGGTTCTTGCGTGTGTTACTAGGTAATTGGTTGGTTCCGTCGAGGTTTTGCCACATCGCCGCCGGTTGCCGCCTCGTGGTCGCCTGTTTGCCGCCCACTTGGGTGGTCCGCCGAGGTTTCGCCGCATCGCCGCCCGTTGCCGCCTCCTTGCCGCCCACTTGGTGGCTCCGTCGAGGTTTGGCCACGTCGCCGCCTGTTACCGCCGCATTGCCGCTTCGCTGCCGCTCACCTGGGGGTCAGTCGGGGTTTCGCCGCGTCGCCTCCTGTTGCCGCCTCGTTGTCGCCCGCGAGGGGGGTCCGTCGAGGTCTCTCCGCGTCGCCGCCCGTTGCCGCCTCGTTGTGGCCTCGTTGTCGCTCAGTTTGGTTGTCCGTCGAGGTTTCTCCGCGTCGCCGCTGGTTGCCGCCTCGTTGCCTCCTACCGCGCTTGGGGGGTCCGTCGAGGTTGCACCACGTACTGCATAATTGGCACCACGTAGATGGCATCACATAGCGTACCCATCCACAGTGCAAGAACGTACGGTTTGGGGTCCACGCTGCTAACATCAACTGTGGGAATTGAGTTGATCTTAGCCTCTTCTCTTCGGGCCCTTTGGGCGGCCTCTTGGAGGTCTCGTGGGATGTCTTCGGAGCCTCTTGGGACATCTGGATGGCACATTGGGTGGTCTTGGGATATTGTGAGCCGTCTTGGCAATCTTGTAGGCTCCTGACTTTCTCGTGATTCCGTTGCCTTTGGGGTCCGCACGGGTGGCTCCTCGTTGGGAATCTCTTGGAAGGCTTAAAGGGTAAGCAAAGCTTGGCACGTCGTACACCCCGTTTGCAAGCAACAGGGTGGAGTGGATCTAAGACGCCTACGGCGAATCACCGCCGCCCCCTGCCTTTTTGGAAGCGCCTATGTGGCCGAACGTTGAGGCCAGAGGCCTGCCAAGCCATCGGACCATGTGTGCCCCGAATCGGTTTGGAAAGCCTTCGGGGAACACGTGGGCATCTTGAAGGTCATCGTGGCCGTCTTGGAGGCCTCTTGGGCGATCTTTCGGCGACCTCTGGGGGCTCTTGGGCCGTCTCGGGCCGTCGGAAGGCCGAAAAGAAGGACATGTCAAAATCCCTCCAAAACCTCAGGACAATCTATGTGTTTGGCCTCTTCTGGCCTTCCTGGAGGCCCTCTTGGGGGCCTCTTGGGCCGTCTTGGGCCAGCTTCGAGCTAACTTCGGCCATCTTGGTGGGTTCCTGGCACGTCTGACGCCGTCGGGAGCCGTCTGGGGGGCCTTTCTGGGCCAACGGGGGGCCCTCTTGGGGCGCTTCGGGGCCGTCTTGGAGGTCATCTGGGGCGTCTTGGAGGCCATCGTGGGCGTGTTGGAGGCCTCTTGGGCAGTCTCGGGGCCCTCTTGGGGCCATCTTGGAGGCCACTTGGGCCGTCATGGGGCCCTCTTGGGGGCCTCTTGGGCGATCTTGGGGGCCTCTTTGGCCGTCTTGGCCCGTCGGAATGCCGAGAAGACGCAAATTCCAAAATCCTTCAAACACCTAAGGAAAGTCAATGATTTTGGCCTCTTCGGGCCCTCCTGGAGGAGCTCTTGGAGGGCTCTTGGGCCGTCTGGGAGGCCTCTGAGGGGCCTCTTGGGCCGTCTTGGGCCGTCTTGAACTCTCTGAGGCCGTCTTGGAGGCCGTCTTGGACCATCTGGGGCGGACTTGGAGGCCATCAGGGGCCGTCTTGGAGGTCATCCTGGCCGTCTTGTGTGGCCGAACGTTGAGGCCAGACCTACCAGGCCATCGGACCATGTGTTCCCCGAATCGGTTTGGAAAGCCTTCGGGGAACACGTGGGCATCTTGAAGGTCATCGTGGCTGTCTTGGAGGCCTCTTGGGAGATCTTTCGGCGATATCTGGGGGCTCTTGGGCCGTCTTGGGCCGTCGGAAGGCCGAAAAGAAGGACATAGGAGTGCTTGCACGTGATTGTCTGGGCCGCTCCATGGCTTTTGATCTTTCTCAAGTGCATGAGTCGGGCTGGGCCATGGCCCCGGGCGGCGCCGCCACGCTCGCGGTGAGCGCCGCGGTGGGGGCGCTGGCTGCCTGGGCCGGGCTGCGCTGGGCGACGAGCTGGCTGGCGGCGTTGGTGGCCGCCTCGACCAGCTGCCCGTCCTGCGTGTGCCACGCGCCGCAGTGGCCCCCGCCTGCGCCGCCGGCGCCGCCGCCACCGCCGGCGCCGAGCGCCGGCGCGGTGGCCGCGGCCGTGGCGCAGAAGCTCGAGCCCTGGCTGGTGGCGAACTCCTCGCCTGCACCGGCCACCTGCCCCTCGGCCGACGAGGTGGCCGCGGCGCTGCTGGAGCGGCTGCCGCCCCTGGGGCCTGAGGAGGCCCGTGTGGCGCCGTCCGCGCCCGAGGCAGGCCCAGCCGTGGGCGAAGGTCGTCTCTTCGCCTTCATCTTGGCGTGGGGGATCGCCTGCGGGGAGGCGGTGATCTTGGCGTGCTGCTGCGCGGCGGCCCGAGCCCGTCGCGATGATCGCCCCGCTCCCCCGCCGCCGCCGCGGCCCGACGACCCTGGCCGCGGACGGCACACTCGTCGAGGTGGGGGCGTGGTGCAGTGAGCTCCGGCCAGGACGCCGGGTCGGGCTCTGGTACCCGCGCGACACGGTGTGGCACGAGCGGGTGCTGCTCTACCCCGCGGGGGGCACGTACTGGTGGGTGCTGACGCCAGACGCCGATCGGTACGCCGAGGACGTGTCGGGCTCCGTCGGCGACGGGTGCAACAGGGCCTTCGCCGTCGCGCTGGACGGCACGGCGCCCGCCTTGGCCCACGGCGCCTTCTACCGGTTCTCGCAGCCGCTGACCTGGGAGGAGCTGCGCGCCGCGGTGCTCAGGTCGAGGACTGATCAGCAGGAGCACGTCGGTGACGAGCCGGTGGTTGACCCCGCGGAGGTCTACACCTGGGCGGGGGTCACCCGCCCGTTCGGGCTCCTCCGACGTCGCCTTCCGCTGCGAGGGGCCAGGGACGCTGTCGGGGGAACCGACGCCCCTCCTGGTGCCGCTTCGTCCTCGGCGGGCGCTGATGAGGCAGTCGTTCCCGCCCCACCAGCGCTGGAGCCGCCTGAGGGATGCTGCTGGCTGGTCAACTCGCCCGGCCCTCTTCGCTTGGGAGTCGAGGTGGTGCTGGAGGCTGGCGGCGTCAGGCTGGACGACGACCACGCGATGGTGAGAGAGGCCGGCATCTGGCAGCTCGTGGAGGCGATCCCCGTCGGCGCGGTGGACACCTTCAGGGACAGGCGCCCGAGGGAGCTACTCGGGCTGGTCGAGAGGGACCTGCCCGCCGACGCCCGCGCGAGGGGGCCGCCGCTGCCGCCGCCGGCCTTGCCACCTGGTGGCGAGGCAGATCCCGCGCGCGGAGCTGCCGAGGCCGCCGGCCCCAGCGCTGACGACCAGGACCTGACAGACAGGCTGGGGGTGCCCCCCCCGGAGGGGGCGCGCGAGGCGGACTCGGTCGACGACGCGAGGGCGCTGTGGGTTCAGCACGACGAGCAAGGGGGCCGCCACAAGCCGTGGCGCGAGGTCGTCCGCGAGATCGAGAAGTACACGTTCCAAGACTGGCCGCTCGAGGACGGCCTCAGCACGGTGGAGCACACGGCGAAGCGCAGGGAGCAGAACGGCGGATTCCCTCTGCTCTGGTTGGACCTGTGGGCGCGGGGCCGGCAGCTGCCGCAGCTACATCGAGATGAAGTGCCTGCTCACGGCGATCTTCTATGCGGGAAGCTACGACCAGGTCAACTTGCCCAGCATGGCCAGCATTGAGGCGTTGCGTCGTCGGGTGTCGCAGATCGTCGAGGCCTGCTCGGGTGATCCCAACAAGCCCCCGAAGTGGGGCGGGCTGCGGCACTACGCGGGCGTGGCAGGCCCGATGGACGTGATTGACCCAGCCTTGAGGACCGCAGACTTCCGCCGCAACGAGGAGGAGATGGAGCTGGAGAACTGGAAGAACCGGGCTGCCGGGCTCCCTGTGCCCAGCCCTCTGGCGCTGGAGGCCGGCAAGGGGCTCCCGAGCGGGCCCTCCGGCGGCGCCGACGGGCGCGGGCGGGGCCGCGGCGACGGCCGGGGCGGGCCGCGGCGCCGACGGGCGCGGCCGCGGCGCTCCTGGAGGCGGCGGCGGGCGTGGGGCGGCTGGGCGCGGTGGGAAGCTCACCGCGCCCGAGGGGGCATGACTGCCCCCGCCGGCGGAGTTGGGCGCCCCGCCGGGAGCGCACAGCCCAGTCGCGAAGTCGGGGTGGACCTGCTGTCGGTGTTCCCCCTGCCGAGGCTGAGCGACCATGAGAGGGAGTGGCCGCAGCTCCAGGGCCGCGGGGCTGCTCGGCTCGCCAGGCGAGCCTGCCAGGACTTCGACGAGGTCGTCGACGCCTTGAATTGGTTGATGAACCGCACCTCCACATGGCGACAAGCCGAATTTTGACCAGATGGAGGTGCACGCGCGGATCCTGGAATGCGTGGCTGACTGCATGCCGCCGATGGAGACCGCGATCCCTTCCCCGCCAGCGGCCTTTTCTGAGCTGTTGCACGGCCGCAGTGTCTACGACGAGTCGGCCGGGCGGAACCCTGGTCATCCGATCCTCCTGTTTTTTGGAAACTACTAAAAGTGATTGCGCCGTGCGAGTGCTAATCTACATTTTGTAGTTGATCTCCTCAATGTTGTAGGGTGGCGTAATCCTCTAAATTTTGTAGTGTGTGCGCATGTTAGTATTTCATATTTCATATATGCAGGTCTCATATTCACAAAGTAAACAATGTGGTGTGACCGATATAGGCGCAACCAATATTCGTTTACATCACTGCACACGTGCGCGTTCGATCGTCAGTGCGAGAGCCGTGGATGAACGGGGGCCCGCGGCGCGGGGCATGTCGTTGCCGCCGTCTAACCTGCTCAGTTGTTTTTATCGCCTGCTAGTTTGCTCTGCTCGCCTGCTTGTTTGCTCTGCTCGCCTGGTCGTTTGCTCTGCTTGCCTGCTCGTTTGTTCGTTTGTCCTGCTCGTGTTTTTGTGTCGTTGCGGCGTGCTCGTTTGCCCCGACGCATTGTCTATATTTAAGTGGTTTTGCCTGTTGGCGTTTCGCCTGAGTTCCCGATGGGGCGCTCTGGAGGGACCCATGGGGAGGCGCCGTGAGAGGCGGGGCCCGAGGCCTCGAGGGGCTGGGGGGGACCAGAGAGGGCACAGAGGATGAGGTTGAGGGCGGCTCCTGTTTCAAAACGGGGTTCTCGCTTGAGTTCCCGATGGGGCGCTCTGGAGGGACCCATGGGGAGGCGCCGTGAGAGGCGGGGCCCGAGGCCTCTGGGGGCTGGGGGGGACCAGAGAGGGCGCAGAGGATGAGGTTGAGGGCGGCTCGCTTGAGTTTCAAAGAGGCGGTGTTCTCGCTTGAGTTCCCGATGGGGCGCTCTGGAGGGACCCATGGGGAGGCGCCGTGAGAGGCGGGGCCCGAGGCCTCTGGGGGCTGGGGGGGACCAGAGAGGGCACAGAGGATGAGGTTGAGGGCGGCTCCTGTTTCAAAACGGTGTTCTCGCTTGAGTTCCCGATGGGGCGCTCTGGAGGGACCCATGGGGAGGCGCCGTGAGAGGCGGGGCCCGAGGCCTCTGGGGGCTGGGGGGGACCAGAGAGGGCACAGAGGATGAGGTTGAGGGCGGCTCCTGTTTCAAAACGGTGTTCTCGCTTGAGTTCCCGATGGGGCGCTCTGGAGGGACCCATGGGGAGGCGCCGTGAGAGGCGGGGCCCGAGGCCTCTGGGGGCTGGGGGGGACCAGAGAGGGCACAGAGGATGAGGTTGAGGGCGGCTCCTGTTTCAAAACGGTGTTCTCGCTTGAGTTCCCGATGGGGCGCTCTGGAGGGACCCATGGGGAGGCGCCGTGAGAGGCGGGGCCCGAGGCCTCTGGGGGCTGGGGGGGGGACCAGAGAGGGCACAGAGGATGAGGTTGAGGGCGGCTCCTGTTTCAAAACGGCGTTCTCGCTTGAGTTCCCGATGGGGCGCTCTGGAGGGACCCATGGGGAGGCGCCGTGAGAGGCGGGGCCCGAGGCCTCTGGGGGGCTGGGGGGGACCAGAGAGTGCACAGAGGATGAGGTTGAGGGCTGCTCCTTTTCCAAAACGGTGTTCTCGCTTGAGCTCCACTTCAGGAGGCGGGGCTCGAGGCCTCTGGGGGCTGGGGTGGGCAACGGCTTACAGGACGAGGTCCATGGCATCTCCTTTTCAAAACGGGAGCTTCCATTGAGTTCCAGCTGGGTATCGTTATTGCTCTCAGTCTCTCTCTCTCTCTCTCTGTCGCTCTCTCCCTCCCGTAGTATACCTCTCTCTTTCTCTCGATCTCTCTCACGTGTTCGGTTTCTCTATGTCGATTGCTCTCCCTCTCTATCGTGATCTCTCTCACTCTCCCTATCTCTCTATCTCTCTCACTTCCCCCATCCCCCCTCTTTGATTGGATGGGGGGCTTGGAGGAGACAGATGAGGAGAATGAAGGAGGAATGCTTTGTGTGTGTGTGTGCTGCTACTTCACCTTGATCTAAGGCGCCTGTGGCGCCAGCAACGCTGATGTCTCGATCGGGCCAGCGTGAACGGTATCAGGCTTCATCGGTCGGTGCTGCCATCGCAACCATTGCGTCGAAGGAAAGGGCTGGATCGTCGTAAAAACCGACCTGGATCCCCGAGGCTGAGTTGAGCTGCCTGTCTTTGAGGAGCTCTGTGAACCTAATCGTCGTTCCTGGTTTTCTCAAACTGGGCCTCGGACACTGGCTTTATGTAGAACGCATTCCTTTCGAGTAGAACGGAGATGGCAGCGTCGCCGTCGTCGGCCTTGGGCAGCGTGTAGGATTTGCGGCCAGGCTCGAGGTTGGTGATCCTGGCCTTGGGCGGGAGCGTGTTCATGATATCGGTCCCACTGAAGATCTCTGGAGTCTCTGATTCGCCGTCGCCAGTGTGTTTCTTCTCGGCTGGCTCTTCGAGGACATCGGCTGCCGCAGCTGGTCGTTTCGTTCCAGCCTCGTGAGGTTTGGCTTTGCCTTTGGCCTTGGCTTTGCGTTTGCCCTTGGCTTTGCCTTTCTTAACCTTCAAGGTGGAGTCTGCAGCTTCGGGCTTCAGTATCGAAAGGCCATCTTCGGCGAGGCTGCTGTTCGGGAGCTCGGTCGCCCACGGCTCAGCGGAATATTTCACTTCGAAGTGCGCCAGAACCATGCCATCCGCCACAGCAGAGTATTTCACGGCTGGAGCCCGAGAGCCATCCGAAAGCAGCACGTAGGTTTTCATCTCAGTGTAGTTGAAGCACTTGTCGATTACGATCGTCGATTCGTCCTCATCGTCGTCTTCGCCGTCCAAGTCGCTGTCGCGGTAGTAGATGAACGGGTTGAGAATGTTCTTCTTGGCCGTGGGTGTTGGGCTGTCAGGCTTGGTCTTTTCGTAGATCGCCACGAGCGGTGCAGGGTGCGCACGGGCGTCGGTCTTGTTCTTCAGGCTAGTGTACTGATCGAACTTCAGCCTGAGGTGCGAGGCCATGACCCGAATCATGTAGCTGACCTTCATCGTACCGACGTTGGGGTCGTCCCACTTCCTGAACGCGCACATCGCCTTGAACACCTATCGGTGCTCATCCTTGAGAACGCTTACCATCATCGCCTTCTGGAGGTCGGACTGTCTGAAGTATGCTCCCCGTGGGTCGATGTCCACGAGGTCGCTCAGCAGACCGTTGTACTTCTTGGCGAGGTGGTCCGTGCAGACGCCAATTTTCATGTCGATTGACTCGTAGTCCCAGCCGCCCCCAGCGATGATCGGCCCCATATGGTCGTCGATCGCTTTCTCCAGAAGAGTTGCATCGCCTCGCCATGCGGGCGCTCTAGCGTTAGTTGACATCTATCGCGTGGTGGAGTAGCAAGCGAGCCCCGTTTGAGCCAAATCGGTTGCGGAAGAGGCCAATGAGGAGAGGAACATGAGGGGGATGGAGAAGAGAGGTGAGGGCATCAGGGAGCACAGGAGAGCAGCAGTGGCAGCATAAGCATAAATGTTGAGGAAGGGTGATGATGATGATGATGATGATGATGATGCTGATGATGATGATGAGGATGAGGATGAGGATGAGGATGATGAGGATGCTGATGATGATGATGCTGATGATGATGATGACGATGATGATGATGATGATGATGATGATGATGATGATGATGATGATGATGATGATGATGATGATCATGATGATCATGATGGTGATGATGACGATGATGATGATGATGCTGATGATGATGATGATGCTGATGATGATGATGCTGCTGGTGATGATGATGATGAGGAGGAGGAGGAGGAGGAACAGGACGTGCTTGTTGCAGCACCCCAAGCTTGCATCGAGCAGGCCGAAGCGGTCTCCAGCAGCTCAACTTGCCCCGACGTGAGCTGGGCGAGAAACTGTGAAAGCCACACTCGGATCGAGTGTGGTGTGTAGGCGTGGCTCGCTCTCGGCTCTCTGCTCAGTTCTTCGCCTTCACTTTGGCGAAGTCGGCAAGCACGTTCGTCTTGTAATCCTTGTAGAATGCCTGCACCTCTTTGACGGCTTCATCGAGCTCCATAGCCTTCTTCTGGATGTCATCCGATGAATGTTTCGATATCTCTGCGAAGTTGTTCTTCTCTGTGATCCACTTGGTCTCGAGGTCCTTCGCGTTCGTGACCTGCTTCTCGGTGTTGCTCTGCAGGAAGGCCATGGCGCCAGAGGACCACGAGTGCGTGGCCAGGCGAGCTTCGATGGCACGGACATCGCCGAGCTCCTTGCTCATCTTGTCGACCTGCGCTTTCATGTCCTTCAGCGCCTTCCTGAGCTGGTCCTCCACCTGGGTCCGCGCTGCAGCCTCGGGGCTCGGGGCTGGCGGTGGCGCACGAGGCCGACTGGATGCTGCGGACTGGCCGTTGTGCTGGCCCTGCGGGTCGACAACATTCCTTTTAAGGTTCTCCTCCGCTGGTCCCACGAAGCCTCCGAAATCTGAGATGCCCGAGGAGCCAAAGAAGGCCCCTTCGGGTTCGCGACCCCAGACTTTTGACCAAGGGATTCCGAGTTTGGCGAACCCGAGTCTGCAAAACAAGCAGTTCGCAGGCCCCTCTCGGGGCCTCCGAATCCTGCCCTTCTTCCGTTCATCCTCTCCTCCCGCGCTCCCTCCACTCCCTCTCCTCCCGCCACTTCCTCCCCTCCTCCTCGACTCCTCCTCGTCACCCTATCCCTTCAAAGGAATGTTGTCGCCCGAACTGCCCGAGCTCTTCTCTTCGGGACGCCGTGGGCGTTGCTGCGCAAGGCCTCCGAGACAGCGGCGGCGTCGTCGTTGCCGATCTCAGCCTTCTGCTCCACGCCGACGGTATCCTGCTTGGCTTTCTGGTAGAGATCCCAACTCACTCGGACCTTGTACTCCTTAACTTTGGCATCGTGGAGGGCCTTGTTCGAGCTGTGGTAGCGCCACTCGCACGTCGTGACAGCGATCTTCGCGTGGTCCAGGTTGTTCAGGTACTTTGGTCCTCCGTACTCAGACTCCGTGAGCCAGACCTCAATGGTATTATTCTCGACTCGCTCTGTGCGCTCGGTTCGCGAGATTGCCACAGTGCCGCCAGACGCAGGATCGAGGACGAACGACGCCATCCACTCCCTGCGCAGGTCATCCTCGGTGAGCTTCCTGTACTCCTCCCACTTGTCAGGGAAGTCGGACTTCAGCACGTAGTTCAGCGACGAGAAGGCGCGCTGCCGAACGGCTCGAGGAGCTCCTTCGACGGCCGCAGCGGTCAGCTCTTGTCCCTCGGTGGCGATGCACTCCTTGAGCTCTTGCACGGCCTTAGGCAGCTGCCCAGCCTTGCGCTTCAAAGCAGGCATTGCGTCACGTATGTATACTCGAGGTGGCCGTCGAGGAGTCTCGAGCCAAAATTGCTGAACTACAAACCCAGACAGACTGTTCGCCAGACGATGCCGCGGCGTTTCTCGACGCCTACTTCGGCGGATAGTCTGTCACCCCCCTCCCGACAGACTATCCGCCAGACGTTCCCGCTCGAGACATCCTCACAATCGATTGTCTGTCACCCCCCTGCCGGACAATCCGCCGGACAATCAGAGGCCGGTAGGTTCCCTCAACGCGCGGGTTGGCCAACCTTTGACCCCAATTAAGCGATTGACGTGCGACCTCTGACCCCAATTAAGCGACCCCCTGAGAGGCCCTGAGGCTGCATTGAAATGGCGCCAAGATAATGCCAGAAGCCAACGCGAAGCCAGACGCCCCAAAAGAGCTTCACATACGTTCAGTAATGACGGGGCGCTCGCGTACATGTACCGGGGTCCTTGCGAATTTGTTTCGCAAATATTATTGGGAATCTTTTTCAAATTAAAATCCGACCCTCCATCCCTCCAAACTCTACCGCAGGCGCCCAGAATAATAGTAATTTCAAATTGCGGCAGCACCCCCAAATTTGAAGCATACCCCCTGGATTTGCCCAGGACCCTCCAGGAATCTTAGGGGCCCTGACGGATTCTGATGGATTCTGCTGGTTTCTGGAGCCCCGTCCTGGAGGATTCCTCCCTGGACGCCCTCTTGGGGCCGTGTCGGGCCGTTTTGGGAAGCCGCTTGGGCCGTCTCGAGGCCATCTTAGGTCGTCTTGCGTCTTGGGCCGTCTTGAATCGGTCTTGGGCAATCTTGGCGGCCCTGGTGGCCTGTTTGGGCCAGGTGGCAGTCATCTTGGATTCCTCGGAGGGCGCCAGGGGCATGTCTCGGCGCCGCATTTTGGACACCATCTGGTATCTGGAATCCAGATGACTGCCACCTTGGATTCCTCGGAGGGTGCCGGGCCATGTCTCGGACATGGCCCGGCACCGTTCGGCGCCGCATGTCCGTGCATGTTTCGGTGGCAGTCATCTTGGATTCTTCGGAGGGCGCCGTATGGAAAACGTATTGAGTGGCAATGTATCGCCTCATGTTGAGGCCCAGAATGCAAGTGAAACAGTTGTTTTTTCTCAACCAGTTTTCTGGTGACCCCCCCCTTCGTGGGTCACCTGGTGTGCTTGCGCCGCATCGAAAACGCATTGAGTGGCAGCGCGCCGCCTCATGTTGAGGCCCAAAATGCAAGTGAAACAATGGGTTTCTCTCAACCAGTTTTCTGATGACCCACCCCTTCGTGGGTCACCAGGTGTGCTTGCGCCGTTTGGCAAACGTATTGAGTGGCAATGCATCGCCTCATGTTGAGGCCCAGAGTGCAAGTGAAACAATTGTTTTTTCTCAACCAGTTTTCTGGTGACCCACCCCTTCGTGGGTCACCTGGTGTGCTTGCGCCGTATGGCAAATATATTGAGTGGCAGTGCATCGCCACATGACGAGGCCCAGGATGCAGGTGAAACAATTTGTTTTTCTCAACAAGGTTTCTGGTGACCCACCCCTTCGTGGGTCACCTGGTGTGCTTGCGCCGCATGGAAAACGCATTGAGTGGCAATGCATCGCCTCATGTTGAGGCCCAGAATGCAAGTGAAGCAATTGGTTTTTCCAAACTAGTTTTCTGGTGACCCACCCCTTCGTGGTTCACCTGGTGCGCTTGCGCCGTATGGCAAAAATATTGAGTGGCAATGCGTCGCCTCATGTTGAGGCCCAGAATGCAAGTGAAACAATTGGTTTTTCTTAACCAGTTTTCTGGTGACCCACCCCTTCGTGGGTCACCTGGTGTGTGTTTCGCCGTATTGAAAACGCATCGAGTGGCAATGCATCGCCTCATGTTGCGGCCCAGAATGCAAGTGAAACAATTTGTTTTTCTCAACCAGTTTTCTGGTGACCCACCCTCTCGTGGGTCACCTGACGTATTGAATGGCAGCGCATCGCCTCATGACGAGGCCCAAAATGCAAGTGAAACAGTTTGTTTTTCTCAACCAGTTTTCTGGTGACCCACCCCTTCGTGGGTCACCTGGTGTGCATGCGCCGCATGGAAAACGTATTGAGTGGCAGTGCATCGCCACATGACGACGCCCATGATGCAGGTGAAACAATTTGTTTTTCTCAACCAGTTTTCTGGTGACCCACCCCTTCGTGGGTCACCTGGTGCGCTTGCGCCGCATGGAAAACGTATTGAGTGGCAGTGCGTCGCCTCATGACGAGGCCCAGAATGCAAGTGAAACAATTGTTTGTTCTCAACCAGTTCTCTGGTGACCCACCTCTTCGTGGGTCACCTGGTGTGTTTGCGCTGCATGGAAAACGCATTGAATGGCAATGCGTCGCCTCATGCTACGGCCCAGAATGCAAGTGAAACAATTTGTTTTTCTCAACCAGTTTTCTGGTGACCCACCCCTTCGTGGGTCACCTGGTGTGCTTGCGCCGTATGGAACGTATGGAAAACGTATTAGGTGGCAGTGCGTCGCCTCATGTTCATGCCCAGTATGCAAGTGAAACAGTTGGTTTTTCTCAACCAGTTGCTGGTGACCCACCCCTTCGTGGGTCACCTGGTGTGCTTGCGCCGTATGGCAAACGTATTGAGTGGCAGTGCTTCGTCTCATGTTGAGGCCCAGAATGCAAATGAAACAGTTGGTTTTTCTCAACCAGTTTTCTGGTGACCCACCCCTTCGTGGGTCACCTGGTGTGCTTGCGCCGCATGGAAAACGTATTGAGTGGCAGTGTTTCGTCTCATGTTGAGGCTCAGAATGCAAGTGAAACATTTGTTTTCTCAACCAGTTTTCTGGTGACCCACCCCTTCGTGGGTCACTTGGTGTGCTTGCGCCGCATGGAAAACGTATTAGGTGGCAATGCCTCGCCTCATGCTGAGGCCCGGACCGCAGGTGAAATATTTGG